ATTACAAGATGATAATAATATATTACAAGACAACGATAATATAATTGCAGGTCTTTTATTTAAAGTAAGTTAAATATATTTATATTTAAATAATTAATATAAATTAAAATTATTGACCTGTGGGTCTATAGTGTAGTGGTTAACACTCCACAGATCAGATCACAAAATACTGATTCAATCACAGGTGAAGGTGATTGAACAGTTCTATATGGTATTTGGCATCATAACCTATTATATGCTGTTTCTCATGTGAAGCCGTTTTACACATTGATTCAGCAGGCGTTGAGATTGTGTTCTCCAGAAAAGGTGTCATGGCATGTTGATCATCTGACTGGTGTTACGATGATCAATATCATATTTGGTGCATTTTTCGGTTCCCTTAGGCCATTTCCTCCTCCTATAATCCACGAGACTATAAAAGAAAGCTTGTTAACCCAATTAGACAACTTTGAAGATAATCACCTTATGGGCATAGCAGACTGGAAGAAACTCAGATCACTTTACAGGTGTTGCACACTGCTTGGTATTCATACCTCTAGATTGGCAGCTTAAGTCAATTAAAAGATCTATGGAGTATCTATTGGGAGAGTAAGGAGTAATCCTTAAGGAGTCGTACCTCACTTGGTTAGCAACTGAGCCTCCAGATTTGGTAGTGTGTGCCAACTATAAAAACAACTCTTGGAGCATTTACTAGGAAGTATAAAGAAGTAAATCCTTGATGCCAAAAAGAATGGATCGTAGGGAGTAACTGTAATAAGGACCCTAGTGATGGTTAATGGGTAAGAAAAACAGCCCTCTGCATAGTCCACGCCTAGGTATGAACCCACCCCTGAGGTATAAGTTGGTACCTGTGTTAGAATAAGGGCAGAGTCATCAGTTAATTAGCGATAGCTTAGACTGTTTATGTAATGGTAACTTGTAAATCATATGATTTATGAAATAAAATCTGTATATATATCGCACCTTAGCCCTTAAAAAAATAAAAAAATAAAAAAATAAATTAAAATTATTAATGAATTAATTTATTTTTAGCTTCATAAACTTATTTTCAAAATTAGAGCATTACCACAACAACGAGAAAAATTTTTTGCACAATGTCAAGTAGCTAAAATATCCAATAAAATAGTTATATTAGATGTTAAAACCCGATGGAATTCAATATATGATATGTTAGTTAGAGCTTGTAAATTAAAAGAAGTAAGTTAATTTATATTATTTTATTTAAATATATATATAATAATTTTCAATTTTTATTATTTGTGAAACTGATGTCTTTATTTGAATTCTGATTTAATTTTATAAATTTTTATTAAATACATTTGATTTAGCAATTTTTATTTAGATTTTTATCACTTGTGACTAATTAGATTTCTTAATAATACTATTTTGATATCAAGTTGATATCAAATTTATTATGAGTTTAATATAATAAGTATATTAAATTTATTATAAGTTAATATCAAGTTAATATTATTTCAATACTTAATTCAAAATTCTATAATTAATAATTATATTTTTTAATTTATATTTTTAAGTTTTTATGAGATATTACAATTGAAATAGATTTATAAACTTCAGATTAGAATAGATTGACTTAAAATTAATCCTTTAAGCTTATGTAATAAAGTTTATTATTATTAATTTGAATTTAAATTATGTAATAGAATTTATCAGAATTAGATTTCTTATGCAACTTTTTTTGTTTTGATCTGTTTTTAACTTATAATTGTTAAAAAGATTAAAGATAAAAACAAGTTCTTAAATTAAAAATAAGAATATAATTTAAATGTTTTTTACTATTAAAAAAGTTTTTTTTTTAATATAAGATCTAAAAAAAACTATTTATAAAGATTTTTTGCAATTTAAATTACTTGATTCAAGTGTTTTTTGAATTATGTTTCTATTAAAATAATGAATAAATAATTATGTTTCTTCAAAAGAAACATAATTGATTTGCAAAATTTTATATGTTAAATAATTTAAAGACCCATCCTTAATCAGAGATTCCATTTTTATATAGCCTAATTATTAAAATTGTATTTTTTTATTTAGTTATAAAGCACAATAATATATTAGTAATAATATAAAACAATGTTTTAAATTATAAAAAATATTAATTATAAAAATATTTTTGATCAATATTTAAAATTATTAATTCTAAAAATAAAGATTGGAAATAATATGATTTTAAACATATATTTAAAATAATAAATATGTGAAATTTTTTGATTTCAAAATATTGAGACTCTTCTATAATCTTTTTGTTTATCAAAATCTTAATTTTAATTAAACATATTTGAAATAATATAGGTTATAAAATTGCTAGAAAAATCTTAAAACAAAAAAGAATTAAAAAATTTTTATTTTAAAATTATAAAACAATATTATTTTAAAAGGTTAAAGAAATTAATTTTAGATTTATCTTCTAGACTTTTTGCTATCGTTGTTAACAAAAGTAGTTATACAAAATATTAAAATTTTTATAATGTATATCCGATAAAAATAAATTATATAAACAAATTTGATTATACTGTATAAATTTTGATTATATATATACAATATATAGCTATTTCTTTAAAATATATTATTTCTATATTATTATTATTAATTATTTTTTTTTTCATATGTAAATTTAACATTATGTTATTATTTTAAAAATAAAAATTAAGATTTAATAATTACGATATTAGTATTAAATAAATTATATTTAACCTTTTTAATAATCTCTATTTAAATTTTAATTATATTTTCGAATTTTTCTTTTTAACAAGATATAACAAATCGTTAAACTAATTACAAATACCTCTTGTTAGGCTACATGTTGCTTGATATTGAGTTTCTAATGAAATTACTATCATTCATATAAACTGACGCGACCAAAATATAGTCAATTAGACTAAACAGTAGTTTTCATTAATGAAATATGGCTAAAGAATGATTCTCTGTTGCATTTAAAGTACGCCTCAACTCAATGTTTATTAAATTAGTATCATGGAATTTTTTAATAACTATTAGTCTCGTTTAACGTCTTCAAATCATATAAATCATTTTGGATTAATTATCTAACTTGCGCGTATGAGTCAATTTGAAACAGAGAATACTTTAATAAATTTAAAATTCTACGTACCATAATTCCGCATCTCCTTTGATACTATCTTGTCTTATCAGGTCTTTCAGCGATTTCGCGTAATTTATCACCAAGTTTTACTAAATTACCACGAATCACACGAGGATCGCTATTTAATCTTTTTCTCAAATCATGTAATACTACTGGGTTGGTATCAAAATGCATAAGCCAGAAGCTGTTCATTAGAAGTAAGCACGTTATTATTTTCCCAAGAAAAAAAAACCATTTAATATTGAAGGATTAAACATACTGTCCGTGTGTATGGTATACTTGATGCCTTTTTGTCCGAACAACTAATGGCATAGCACCCCAATTCTCAAAACCTCTAACGACTCCACCGCGTTCTAATACGTGTGTGGCCATAGTTTTAACAAGATCTTTTAGGTTTGCCTTTTTTATTAATAAGGTTTTCTTTTAAGTTATGAACAAAAGGAAAAATTGCTCCTTAAGGGAATATATATCAATTCACCGTTGTTAATTCGGCTTGAGCGATGCATAATAGTTCATAAAAACCCATCTGGATCACGCATGAAATCGAGAGAAATTTCGTTTGGTTAATGATTGCCCATCCATTTAACCGGTTTTTATCATAAAATTATGTCATATGTTTGAATATACATTATTAACATGTATTATTATTAATACATTAAAATAAATAAGTAAATAAATAAATATTATAAATTCGTTTTTTTAAAAAATGTACAATACAGTAAATTAGTTTTGAATAAATTGAACAAGATAAAAATAATATAATTTATATGATACTAGGATACAGTATATTAAATAAAATTAACAATATAAAAATTTATGCATTTGAAGAATTTATATTTAAAAAAAAAAAGTTTACTGTATAAGTTACATAATATATAAACTCTAAAAAAAAAAAGCTGATATGCAGCTTCGCGAATTACCATTGGATGGATTTACACATGTTTAATGCAGTAAGTAATGTGAATGTGAAAAACATTTGCTATTATTTTTATCCGACAACAATTTTTAATTGCGCATTTGAGAGAATCGTTAATTACAATAAAAAGAAATCCTTCAAGTATGGTCTTGCACGGGAATGAATGCGAGGCAAAGTTTCAGCAATGTTTGTATAATTCGGTATGACATGTGTTTAAGAAAAGGCGAATGCAAATTTTGAGTAACTCATAATTGAATAAAGTAAGTTACATAATGTTTTGTTGGAAAGGTTTGGTTTTATTAGTTTTTGATAATCTGTTCAAGGCTGAAAAGCGGACCTGGATTACAATATCTATTTTTATCACAGCATTCCGAAAATGAAACTAGAGAGCGAAGCATGCACTCCCATAATAATAAAAATAAAACTATCCCGCAAGAACATGAGGCTGAAAAAAAAAAAAAACCTTTGCCAATGAAAAATTCGAGGATCGAAGTTTTACCATATAAATAGTGGATCTATCGTGACACAAGGAATATGCAGCTGTTAGCATAAACTACGTACGAAAGCAAACAAAAGTGTTCGTAATAGCATTACACAATCACCATTTATCATCACTTATTTCTCGTCCTGTGAATTTTTTTGACTTCTCTTTTCAACATTTAATTACATTTTCCAATTTTGTTCTTAATTTCTTTAAGCTGAAAACATGAACAATAATTCTCCTTGCTTCCCGTTAGCACGAAATCATCACCAACCAAGCTTTTTTCATCCAAATAACGCTTTGCATCCTATACACGCCTCGCAAAGGTTATCCTACAGAGAAAGGCATGCAGCCGCCATTGTATCCGAGGGGTCAACTAAAGGTAGATCCCAGAGTTTCAAAGTTTATCTCAAAACAAATTTTAAGTTTTTCCTTTTTCTTTTCAAGTGACGGGCAAACGAAAACCTGGTGACGAATCTGATGATTCAATGAGCGAAAGCAAGAGCCCACCCTGTTCACCCAGACTTAACGGTCATACGCATGAAATGGAAGCTACTGTTAAGAGGGCGAAACTTAGTAATGAAAAGGAATTCCCACTAAGTAAACTGTTAGGTAATTACATTATTATCGATGTAAATAGTTTGGTTGTTTTGAAACGCAAAAATTTAATCATCATGGATTTTTTTTAGGGACACTCGACAAACCGCAGTTGTTATCGCTAATAAACAACCTCATCGATGCGCACCCCAACCTACAATCAGAAATTGCTTCGAATATCCCTCGACCTACTATTCAATCGGTTACACGTATTTTAGAGGGTATGGAGAAGAAATATTTGGATAGTTTCCCTTACACAAAATGGGGTAGTTCTAAAGATGATTATAGTTTCAATCGAGTAAAACCGGCGATAATGGAACTACAGGTATCTATCTTGTAAGCGCCTTACAAGAGCCATCTGTAATTGTCAAAAAAAAAAAAAAATTTTTTTTTTTTGAAATTTAATATAACGTTTGATTTATAGGGTGCCATTATGGACTATGCAGACCATTTTACATCACCCGAAGAATTTCCGACCGTCACATTCGCATTCCTTCATCTTGCCACCACCATCACACATCGATTACCGGAATGGGATAATAGCTCGCACAACGAACTCAAACGCGATATCTATCTCAAATTAGCAGATTATTGGAAAAAAGCTATTCACGAAGCTTCAAGTAAACTTCGTGATGGTAAAATATATGGACACACCGTCGTCAACGAATGGGCAAAAAAGTGAGTGATAGTAATAATCTTTACTTCTTTCACACGGTCTGTTTGTAACTATTTATTCCCTTTTTTTCATAAAGTCTGGCACAGCATAACCGAGATTCCAATGGCGCATTTCAACAAGCATCCGAAGAATTTGTTGAAAAACTTGGTGTAATTATAGGACTTCAAGGAGGGGTATCCGGTGTATCGGCTTCGTCATTGACTTTTTCCTTCGCCTCCGGCATTGGTGGAATGAATTCTAGTAATAATTCGATGAATCACCGTAATTTTCAGCTCATGTCGGCGTAACAAGGTTGACCTGAATAATATAATCGCTTGGAGGATGTAATTGTTGTATGCACAACAATTCAACATTCGCAGAGACATGTATATTTTGGAGATCACTGTTTTAAACAGCTTATAATATTTTTTCCTTTTATAATACTCTCGGTTGGGCTAAGATTAATCAAACTTTTTTGAGCCACGGAATAGAAGTCTTTTCACATTTTTTTCCCATTAGAAAAAAGATGGAGAAAATAAATTTATAATTGTTAGGCTCATTGTTAATATGTTCGACATAGATTTCCGATGAATTATTGTTACTTTTTTTTTACTAGAAACGACGAATTAATAATGTTAAGGGGCATTATGTTGAGAACGATAAGTCCAGGGCGCAATTTTCACGATAGCAATGGACAAATTATAAAAGTTATCACTTTAATATTGAGCCCGAATACCACTGCACCCTTTTATTCTCTATTCCCCAAATTGAGTTTTAAGATTATATATACCTTTCTGTCAATTAAAATATATTATCACTAGAGGTTCAATATTCAAATAAGTTTTGATTACAAAATATGTTTGTTGGATCTAATGTTCTGGTATATAAACATAAATATTATTTTATAATAAAATATGAGACTATTTAGAGTCAATTATATGCAGTAAAATCAGAATTGATGGTTAACCGTTTACCTTTTTGCGTTTTTTAAAACTTCCATTGCAGGCTGTGATTATGATGTGGAGAGGCGGTGTGATTAAAAAAAGTTATTTTCTCGAAAAGCAAAATAGCTACTTTTTCTTACCTCCGACAGAGATTCTATAAAGCATTCCAATTTTCTTTTACCTATACCTGATGTACGGTGTGAAAATGATCCATTCGATTTCAATATTTCGACCAATGCAGCTCGTTCTACGCATCTCAATGTGTCAAGTGGGTCGTTGAGATTTCGACAATTGAACCCATAGATGAACGTCAAACCTGCTCCTGTAGCATATCTGAAAATAAAGGTCTTTTTTAAATATGGCATGAAGGTAACCTTCAAGACTAAAACATAAGACTTTCTTACATATAGTCAACTCGAATTCCAACGTATGGTCTCGTCTTAACTCCTTGATCTTTACAGGTGGTGATGATTGTTTTCTTGACCTTTTCAATCAAATTTTCGATGTTTGACCATGATGCAGATGTGTCAATATAATCAGATATTGCATAGTAGTCAAGAAGGAAGTCCCGGAGATACGGTAGTCCCTAAGAAAAGGTGTGTCTGAGCAATTGTTCGTATGTTCGCGCAAAACCCTGTCCAACCAGTCAATTCAATCGTTCTTTACCTTTGACGAGAAAAACATCATCTCACCTATTTCCTTCCCGGTCATCACTCCCCCATATTTTTCACCAATCGCAAGAATCCTCTTTTTATATACTTCAAACTCTGCAACATCTTCGCCGTCGAGAGCTAAAGCAGCTAAGCACATTTTGCCTACTTTTAACCCTTTTATCTTCTTCCAATAATATCTTTTGATGTAATCCCAGAATACAGTTGTTACATTAGGTACCGCGGTACTGAATGCTTCGACAAGTTGTAACCCTTCCTCGTCCACAAAACGTACCCTACTACGATTATTGATAATCCTTTTTTGCGCTATCTCACGGAGAAATGAAAGTCCATCGGGGAACGATGGAAAGTATAAAGAGATGGAGTCATGGTAGGGTGCGATAAAATGTAATTTAAAGGTTAATTCGGTTATGATGCCTAATGTTCCTTCGGATCCTAACAGCAAGTTGATTATGTCTGGACCCGAAGATATCGACGACGAATGAATTTCGTTCCTTTGTATCGTGCCTATTATAAGATAATGCATTAATGTTGACCACAAAATAAATATTACGAGTAAGAAAGCTAACGACCTGCAGGGGTAGCCATCTTGACGCCGATGATGCTGTCTTCGAAATCCCTCGAACACAAAGACGCCAGTCCACCAATTGTGCCGAATTCCATCTAGACAATAATATGTATAAGTGAAAAGTAAAAGAAAAAAATATATATATAATTTTTTTCTTTTTCTTGATTTTTTTCCAGAACAATCTAATATGATAATAATTAAAGGCCCCAACCGTTTCTGTGTCCCATCCTAAAGTAAATCTCGATTTCCGTAATTCTCTTTCTAAATCTTGAATCACTGCGCCAGCTTCCACAGTAACACGCATGTCTACTGCGTTAAGCGATAAAATCCTGTTCATCTGTCTCAAGTCCAAAGAAACCATCATTCGTTTTTTATCTTCAATAGGGCATTCTAGAGCATTCACATCATTGGAGCCTCCACCGTACGGGATGCAGCCGACGTTATGCGTTTGAGCCGCCAAGATAATAAGTTTAACTTGTTCATGATTCTCTGGCCAAATGACGGCGTCCGGTATCTTGGGCAAATTTCCGTATCTCAATTTATGAACTTCTTTAGTGCTCACACCGTGTCCGTGCGACAGCCGATCCTGTTCTGAGAAGGAAAACAATATTCCCTGGGGCTTTATTACATCGTAAAACTTATGGTTTACCTCAGGACTGGGTATGTCGATTATGACTGGTTGTGCAGGGTGTAAGGTTTTCAAGTTTATCCTCAATGTTTGTTCAAGCCAAGGACGAAGTTCATGGAATTCTCTCGAGCTAAAATTGAGATAACGGTCACCGTAAAGGAAGGCGGTTCCTCGTTCATTGAATTTAAAAAATGTGTCCCTGTATCCATAACCATTCCACTTTCTATCTTGATTCGTGCGAACCGCTATGCTTTGACTCGGCGATAAGGTTCGCCATTCTATTGAATTTTTGTCATCCGCACCATTTCCGAGATGGTTTCGCAGGGCGTTGAGTCTCTTTGATGCATTCGAAAATTCATTCTCGGACATTCTTTTTTATTAATATACAGTATAATAGCAATAGCCCGATACCCTAATTACAGGGGGTGTTAATCGTTCCTAATTGATCCCATCAGCCCCCAAGAAAATTTTTAGTTTCAGAACTTAATTACGTTACTGATTAAATGCGTTTTGCGGTAACCCTTTAACCGGAGTTTCTTTATTGGCAATGATGCATAAAATCTTTCGAGGCTTGAAATCTTTTATTTATTTAGAAACTTCCTTTTTTAAAAAAAAAAAATGTCTTGATACACTTACAAACTTACGTTATTTTTTGAGACTTTGCAATTTGTAATTTGGAATTCGTGAATTCGTGAATCAATGGTTTTTTTTTTTTTTTTAATTTGAGATTGACAATTACGTAATGATCTGCGGAGAATTCGAGAATGTTTAACCGCATTCAAGGTGGAATATAATTTTAATAATCGGAATTGAATTGTTGCGGCGATCATCAAAACCACAGAATTTGCTTCGTTTTGATTGTCAGCCAAAACTGGTCTAATTACGTCATAGATTATATAATGATTAATCCAAATTATAAAAGACCGAGATTTTTTAAAAAACGAGTTGTTTTGATTTATCACACACACACAGAGACAATATGACCGAATTACAAAGAATTTTGGTACACGATCATTTCTATATTTCGGTCGCATTCTCATGCTATTTCATGATTCGACTGACCTTTCGTTTCCTTTTAATTTTATAGTTAGTGGGTTTGGGAAATTATACATATCCACAAACGAGGCATAGCATTGGAATGATGGTCTTAGATCACCTAGCCATGCAATTGAATTTAACGTGGAATAAAAACAAAGATTGGCCCGCATATGTTTCCCGAACGACAATATATGTCGATCCTCCAAAGGTTAAGAGAAAGAAGGATAGGATGAATAAAGAACTATTGAAAAATAAGGTTGGTGATAATAGAGTGGAGGATGACAATGGTGTAATAGATACGTCTGTCTCTGCACCTTTGTCATCGATTTCTCCACCTTTATCAACTGGTTTTCGAAACACCAAACCTGAACCCATACCATTAGAGATTACACTAATGAAGCCTTTACTACTAATGAACGTTAGCGGGAAATCTGTATTTAAAGCAGGTACTGTAAATAATTAAAAAATCAATTTCCATGTGGCATTCCATGTTTTTAACCAAAAAATCCTTGATTCAGTCAAAGAACTCGGGTTATCTCCCTCGAACGTCATCGTAATTCATGATGATATGCAACGAGAAATTGGAAAGATAAGTCTGAAAAACGGTGGTAGCGCAAAGTGCGTCTTTTTGAGTCAAGTGTTCTTTGGCAAATCATAATTTCTCTCCAACGTTGACTCGTTTTTTCATTTAATAGTGGACACAATGGGATCAAGTCCGTGATAGAATCATTGCGAACGGATGTAGGTTACTCGAATTTGTTACGAATTGTGTGATCAAATGATTTTTGAATAACATCATCTATTCTACAACATGATAGTCATTTCGACGATTAAGAGTTGGTATTGGCAGACCTCCCCAAAACATTGATGATCGATCTCATGAGATTATTTCCAAATGGGTGTTAGCTCGCATACCGAATAAGGAAATGGAATTTTACACAAATGAGATATTTCCAAAATGTAAAGATAGGTTGTTGGAGATAAGTTAATAATGTCGCTTAAATTAAAAGAAAATAGGGTAATAATGATATCGATAAATGATAATTTAATATTCGTATTAAACACTATATAGTAAGCCAATAAATCATAGAAGAAATATAAGACTCAAAGTTTTCAATAAAATTGAACAAAAAAAAAAAAAAGAATTTCACAAAAAATTTTTTTTATTTATGATATAAAATTTCTCTATGTAGTGTATTTCTTAAAATGACGAGTGTTATTGTTCTCCCAATAAATACATTTGATAAAAAAATGCAAGTATCACAGTTAGGGTCGACAGAACGATCGCCAATAATTTATATTTCCCTATGATCCCTAAAATCACAAAGTGAATGCATCAAGGTTAAAACAGGGAAAATTCAAAAACTAGTATGATAACAGCAAAGAATTTACCAGCACTAAATTTTTCTGGAAGCTGTGTAATGTGAACTGTATTGTCTACGGATCCGCTTACGACTATAGTTGAATCATGGTTAAAACCCAAAGATGTTATCGGAAAGCTATGTATGTTAGGTATGGTAAGAAGGACCTTATAGAAAAATTCAGAATTTCATTAAAAAATATTATATAAGGTTAAGGAGATAGCATTATTTAATTACATACCCTTAAAGTTCGAGTATCACATATTCCCAAACTATTATCTGAGGCTCCGAATGCGAGTAGATTGCCGTCTTCGCTGTTTAACAAAAAAAATAATAAATTTAGAATGTTTCCTTTAGTAAAAATTCGACATATGTTTGTTCTCTTTTACCTTATCGCGAATGTAGTAATTGGTTTTCTCGAGACAACCTTCGTTACATTTCTTTCCCATGTGTTAGCACTCAATTTAACTATGAATGCTTTTGTTTTATTAGACGAATTGACTACGGAAAAAATGAATCCGTCCGACATTCCTTTACCAAATCTGGTAGAAAAAATGAAGTTTAGATGGTGTTAAAGGAAAGACGATTGATTCTCAAAAAAGTAATATCAAACCGGCACGCTCTAAATTGGCATTCAGTAGTTTTTTGAGAAATTGGTCGCTCTAATGAATAAATACATTTACCATCCTTTGTGGATAGTATCTGTAGCACTTTGGTAGAAGAAACTGCAATCTGGAAATATGGTTTACCACGGTTCAGTAAATAATGGTTATGCATGAACGTTTTTTGAAGTAAAGAAGGGTAGAATTTCACCTGATCTCCCGCTGAATTGAAGTCAAGATCATATATTTCTTGTTTATTAAAGTTCACTGGTGGAAAAGCCACCTCCAGCGACGGATATTTCATAACCGTCAACTATCAACAATAAATTTTAAGTAAAAAAAAAATGATGAAAAAAAAAAAAGAAGCATCTTCTATTTTTATTGAAAATTATTTGCCTTGCTGTCAGTTCCTCCAGTTGCCAGAAGTTTATTATCATTACTAAAAGCAATAGTTTTTTGATAATCATCAGCGTTTGTACTGGTCATGGTCTGAACCGCTTTTATCAATTCGATTCTAAAGGTATTATTAACAAGATTTATTTTTATCTCGTTCATTGATTAGGCAAAAAATAGATTAATCAACATACCCATTATTTGAATATCTAAATATCCGGCAATTCTGGTTTTCACCGGCCTCTATACCTTCAACTGAACTATTAATACTGCAGGCAAAAATATTGTCCTGGAAATCAAATATTAAAAAATTTTTTTTACACAAGTTTCAAGATATTTATGGTAGAAGGATATACGAGGCGTACCTCGTGATGGAAGGTCAGGCATGTTGGTGTATCTTCGTTTTCATTAAGTTCCGTTTCCACGATTTTCTCAAAATTGTTTGCGGTAATGTCCACCTTGTACAAAGCCTTAAGAATAATGAAAATGACAGTTTTACACAAGATCACTAAGAAGGTGACCGATTTGAGATCAACTTTATATATACCAGTTTATTCTTTACGCCAA